CCTCTCTCTCTCACTCGCACTTTCTCCCCTATCTCTCTCACTCTCTCTCTCGATCCGTTGTCGTCGCCATCTTCAGCGTCGTCATCGTCGTCAGTCGGTCTTCGTCATTGTTGTCTGACCGTACGTTCAGGTACGTATTCTCCCCTTTCTCCTTTTCTCCTTTCCCCCTCCTTCTTTCTTCTCCCTCCTTTCTTCCTTCTTCCTCTTCTCACCTCCTCTTTTCCCGCCGGCGTTTTCTGCCCCAGTTGCGATCGCTGCCCACCTTTGCGTTGCTTGCCTGCATTCCTTCCCGTCTCTTTTCTTCGTCTGTGCCCCCGCTGTACTCCAGTGCTCGTATTGCCTGACCCTGCGGCGGGAGCCTACCGACCTTAACCGGTTGGCCTCTTTACTAAGTGAATCAGTCCCAATATCGGGGCGTGATTCATTTGGGCAACTCGGGGCAGGAAGGTCGTCGAGAAAACACAAAAAAAGTAAAAGAAAATCAAAACTGAAACAACGAATCTAACGGGACTCAACCCCGTAATCCCTCCCTACTTTGCCAAGTGTCGAAGCCCCACGACACTCGGTTCTAACTAACAACTAGCTGTACTAACTCCTACTTGTAAGGTCGAGGCTTCAAATCCTGCCATTCAGAGGGTGGATGATAAAAAAGAACAAGCCCCGTCCCCTTTTGTAGCTAGCAAAAGAGCTAGCCCAAGGGCAGGTCGAATTCGATCCCTGTCTCCTTGGCTCAATTGGGCTAGCTCTTACCACGGTATGGTAGAGAGCCGCCTTCCTATAAGTAGGTGTAGTAGGTTTGACTTTCCCAGCCTGCGTGCTTGTGCACGCTTGCCAGTTAGTGCGTCCGTCCTTAGGCTTGTCGATTTGAGTATGCGCGCGCCCTCAAGGGCACTTATTTCATCGGAAGGTCCGAAGGCCGGTACTTAGCCGTGGCCGCGGCATCAAGGGTCGTAGCGGGGTAATTACTCAAGTGGTGGGCAGGCTGGTACCACACCAAGCAGACGTAGATGTGGCGGATACTCGACCCGGAGGCTGAGTAGGGGAAGACAAAGACCGAAATTCTTTAGAACACCCAGTACCGGAGGGAAGACAGGCACTGGACCAAGTCTCAGTGCGTGTCATAGACCTACCCGACACAATCATCATTCCAACTGACCCTTCGACCTCTTCTGTCGAGAGGTATTACTACTGATCCTAATCACCACGGCGCGCGTCATAATAACGCGTGTGCATTCTTAACGAAATTTTCTTACCAATTTTTCCCCCGGCCTCAGTGGTCGAGGATTTCTCTTCCAGTGTCACGCCAAGCGTGCACACCCCTCTTATTTCCAGATCGGCTACGTCATGGTAGTTGATGCCGCCATCGTGCCGAATGCAAAGACATGGCAAAATACCCTTGTAAGGGTATTTTGTCCGACACCGGACAGGTCACCTCGGTACTGGTCCGACTCCAACCGATGTCCCAGAGGACCCAGCCTGGCCGCGGAGGCTGCCGGCCCCTATGCATGTCAGAATGCCTGGCTTCACCCACCGGTTCCGCCATCAAGCGCGGCTCGCTTTTCGATGGCTCATGGAGGTACCCACCCCGATCCCGCGCGCGCATACGGGCGCAAAAAACAAAGGAAATAAATAAATACTAGTAACATAAATTTTGAAAACAAATAAATTATACACGGATAGATACATAAACCCCCACAGAGCGTGCGGCGATCAGGCGGAAACCGCGGCCCCCAAGATTGCAAAAGGCGAGGGGGATAGTCCCAAAGGCCCATCAACCCCTCAAGCCTTTCCGCCGCGCTCCTCCGCTCCCTTACCGCACGCTCTTAGCCTCGATCCCTGCACCTCCGCCGCAATAGTCCAATGTCGTAACCGATAGGGCTAAGCCCAAGCCTGGTACTAGCCGGCGCGACCTCCCATATAAGGTGGTACCGCGCGGTGCTCCGGGCCAAAATACCGCTTCGGCCGTCCTTTCACCCCACATTTGTACCTGCGGCCCCTAGGTGCCTGTGCCGGGCCACCGCCCCGCGCTGTGGCCATCCCGTGTGCCTACCGGCATGTCAATCCTACCGTCGGTCACGCGCGCCGACCAAAAACGGACTCTCGGCCCCTAACCAATCCCGTGGCCTGGTACGGGCCGTACCACGATCCGGGTCGGTCGGCTACCCCGGCCGCCTGCTCAATCAGAAAAATCACATGCGCGCCCTAAAATTGCGCACCCACGTACTCCCTACCGGGACAAGGCATACCTTTGCCTATGTGCTGGCGACCCTCGCATTTCCCGCACGGGCACTCAGAATCCAGGTTGACCGAGTCTTTCTGTCACTTGCAAAAACCAGGGTGGATACCCTTGTAAGGGTATTTGCGCCGACAGCTTACCGGACCATATTAAGCGACGTCCCCGTCGCTCCGCCAGATCAGAAAGCTATAAATTTCTTCACACTCCAAGTGCTGACAAGATTAGAACCAATCCGATTAGCCGACAGACTCAGGGTTGAGGCCTCCATCAAACCATGCCAACACAACTATATGGGTCCCCATTGTCCTGACATGAGGACGCTGGTGTATTACGCATCAATACTACAGCATAAGTTCCAAAGGCCCTCAAACCATCCTCTTCCCCTTCGTCCTAGACAACCGTCGGCTCCTCGTTGGGTGTCCCAGTTAGCCTCTATCTCGTAAGTAGAGCCATAACTAGGGACGCGGGCTTCGAATGGGACCTATGAAGGCATTCTTTGCCTTCTTCTAACAAATTCCTCTCAAACAAAATACACACGTATAAGCTGGTAGCCTCTCTCGGCCTTTTCTGCAGTCTAGTACAAAAATGTCAGGTCCCCATCTGGGCCCACCGTAGCCTGGCTGATCGGGCCAGGTCTACGGCCCACCACATTGTTATCTTAGCGGCGGTATCCTCCCATTGGTTATACGATGATAGGCGCTCTTCCTGACAATCAGTCAGTCAGGGTTTTCCAAAAGACTCGACTCTTATCCCGCGGGGTAATTTCTCTGGGGCGGGCAACTCCCCTTAAACTCTTACCTCGCGGGCCCGCAGCCAGGTTGTGCCGGCCAGCAGCCATCCACTAGGGGTTGCGCCCAGGTGGCACTAAACTTTACCGTTAGCTTGGTATTCCCTCAAATATGTCTAAGGATTAGCACAGGTGGCCCGACGGGGCATCACAAACAATTCACGGGCCGCTGCGGGACTACGCAGGGGTCTGAAGGCATTTACCGACCCTCCCATAATAGGCACGACACCTTTCGCTCAATCACAAACAGTCCCCTTGCCGGATCCACAAGGCCGCGGCTCCTGACTTGATCAGAGCCAGTAGTCGCCCACCCTGAGGCATCTCTCGCCCTTTTCAAACGGCTCAAGCAAACATGGTTCCCCCCTCGTCAGGCTTTATCAACACAAACATTGCTTTCCATACCATTTAATTTTTTCCCACCCTTACTCGACGGAGGGTGTTTCTTACAAAAGATTTCACGGTCATCCCTTCTCTGTATGGGATGACTCTTCACACGACCTCTCCCAACCCATGAAGGGGCCTTGATAATAATGCAATTCCCACCTTGCAGAACCATGAAGGGGGTCTCAGTCACCAAACAACTCAAACTGAGGGACCCCCTTCTGGGTCCCTGTACAACTTAGACAATCAATATTTGGTGTGGCCTAAACATGCAAATTCTTAAATCCATCAATCCCGTAGGATTCTCACAATTTTTCACAAACAGGCCGCACTCCCCCTCCTTATACTCTGCCCTCTCGCCCGCTTGTAAGCAGACCGCACGAGTATACCGGAGGGTAGACAGCTTCACTGTTTACACAATCATACATACGAGGCGTATCCTGTACACCTCCCACACAAAGCCAATCATACATTAAGACAAAGCCACACATGTAAGAGTGATAGTGGTCGTCACAAGACAAGTCTCATAGAGTCTAAGCTCATGATACGCTCAGGGAGTGGAACGCCTCCCTCAAGACCCAAACACAAACACCCAACTCAAACTCTGTTCACCCGAGCATGGCTCCCGACCCCACTGTACACCCGCGGAATACACTCGGGGACACAACACCTGCCAAAATCTAATGGGCGCCTAACCCCCTGTCTCACCTAGCTAGGGGAACTCATACCCAAGTCTCCCTCAAAACTCAAGTAGTCTATGCACCGCGAAATCAAAAGTGGACTAAACAGCCCCATGTGTCCTACGGCCGATTCTCATGCCCTAAGCCATAGCCTATGAAAGAAAAACTCAAAGAACCTCAATCAACTATATCTGAATAAGCAGGCAGGGACTCATCCTACCACCTCTGAAGTATGCACACATCTAGGGCCCCCTCTGCCAACTAAACATATGTACACCTCCAACCTGCCCCCCTGTGTACCAACTACTCTAACCGTAGTGACACATAGACAGACCAATCCCTACTTACACAATTCCTCTTGGTTCTGCCTATACAACTGAGCCCTGCCCCCATCTGTAGCTCGCTCTACTATCCTGCCCTGCCTGTCGTAGAACTTGCCGTTGGACTCCACAACGCGCCCCTCGGCTTTATCCTCGAGGAGTTCTGGGCAGTCCACGGCTCTATGCCCTTCCTCCTTGCACCAAAAAGAGGAGGTATCGTGCCACGTGGCAGTCTTCTTCTTTCTCCCCTGCGAACTCGATGCCGAAGGCGTCCCCATGGTCTCAGTACTCACCTCATGACACGAGGGCAATCCCAGATGGCCCTGAGGTCCGGGCTCCATAGCCTCAGCACCCTCACACCTTCGTGCGGCTGTGCTCACCGGCCTGCAGTCTGGCATATCTAACCCTCGGGGGCCCTCCTCATGAGGCCCCTCTGTCACCACCACCTCATCCCCACATGCTCCTGACGGCTGAGAGCCCCCCATCGCGGTGAGCTCACTCATGACCT